ATATATATTTGTTTGTAGATGGTTCTACATCAGGGTCTCATGTAGCCCACTTGTTTCTGCTATAGACAACTTCTTTTTGCTGTTGTCAACGTTGTTGTCAACGTTGTCTGTGTAGTTTACTAGGCTAGTGTGCGTGTGACGGGAATACATGGTGGTCTTTGATGGTACCTGTCATCCACTACATGGTACCGAACTCCTTGCTACTGAACTTCGCCACAGAGATAGACTGTCACCTCGGCGTTACCCTATACTCATTCCCTGGACAACCCCCTGGAACCTACTCTACATGTATTTACTTTAAATCATTGGAGTCTCCACACTCTCTCCACTGCTGTGCAAGTGCATTGTAACGTGATAGACAGATAGAAACCCCGTTTAAACTTAAACCGCCAAGCCTTGAATACCCTCCAGGGCAACGTACGCGTCGATGGTATGGAGGAGGTACCTGTGGTGGACAAACAGGATGTGTACAATGTGTTGTTAAGGGGATCGCAGAAACGGCAGGTGGCCTCCACCAATATGAACCAGAACTCGAGGTAGGTATGAGAGGTATCTATTTATAGCACACGACGGTGATACATCTGTGTGGTGTCAAAACAGGATGTTGTACTGTGTGTTGTTGGGAGGATTCTAGGAACGACAGGCGACCCAGAACTCCAGGTAGGTATGAGTAAGGCCTATTTATAGCACTCTGCATTTATTCTGTCTGTAGCGATGACACTGAATGTGTGCAGCGCTTCACGGAAATGACATGTGGCCTGTATAAGCATGGACCATAATTCGGTGTAGGTATGTATGTATCTATTTATAGCTCTTTGTAAGCTTTTTATTCCTAATATGCTGGTGTATAACTTCGTCAGGGTTACATACATACAAATATATTCATCATGCATGGGCAAGTCGTATTGAATTGCACCAGGCGTGTCACTCCGCTACTGCTGATATTGGTGATATACCATCATATTGATAATCATCAAACCAATCCTACATATGCCTTATGCCAAGATATGTACACTATCACCTACTCCAAAGGTTCCCAATTTCACCCATATATTATACTCTATATGCGCAATAACCTCTCACATTTGGCAACTCGTGTGTGGCACAGTCGGTCACACACGATCTTCACAGTCTATGTCCACATCAAAGAGACCAACGATCGAGGCGAGGAGCTGATCCGTATGGGTATGTCACAGTATTTTCTTTTTTTGAGTATATTTATTTATTTACATATATCAAAATATATACATACTATACATATATATAATTTATATATATATATGTGTGTGTGTGATACACAATACTGCAGAAGACACTGGTGGCAATATGTCTGTGCCACACTAGAATCCCGATATAGCCGATATAGGAATACCATGCACTCACTCTAGGCACAATGGACTAGAATGCCTGTATTTATTCAATCACATGCATATACTTACCCCTGGGCAAACTGCCCATAAGTACAATGAGCAATAATAAGATAAAATACCAATGGATATCGTGCACTTATACTGGCCAAAAATTAAACAACAGTACACACGATGCACTATTAACAATCAACATGGACTCGAACGGCAGATTAATATAAAAGCACATGATACATAACTAAAATACACTCCCGATAAGAATACGGAACATCAGTATAAATGATACAATGTTATCATATACTCACTTTGGGAAATTCATAATCCGTATGAATGATAGAAAATTAACATGTACTCCCGCTGGGAAAACTGGACATCAGTATAGATATAAACATATATTCATTATAGGAAATCACGACATTAGTATAAATAATACACAATAAACATATATTCACTATAGGAAATCACGACATCAGTATAAATAATAGAAAATAGGCGTATATTCATTATAGGAAAACATAACATCAGTATAAATAATAGAATATCAACATGTACTCACTATAGGAAAACAGGACATCAGTATAAGTAATAGAATATAACATGTACTCACTATAAGAAAACAGGACATCGGTATAAATGATAGAAAATTAACATATACTCACTATAGGAAAACAGGACATCAGTATAAATAATATAAAATTAACATCACTATAGGAAAACTGAATATGGTTGATTTGGCTGGGTCGGAGAACATTGGCCGCAGCGGTGCGGTGCATGTGCGTGCACGAGAGGCTGGCAGTATCAACAAGAGTCTGCATGCGCTGGGACGGGTGATCACTCAGTTGGTAGACAGATCAGCGCATATCTCGTACAGGTAGGTGTGTGTGGTACTGTGTGTGTAGAGGAGCGTAGCGTGAGTGAGTGTGTATGTGTATGTACGTGTGTAGAGGAACGTGGCTGTGTTTGATTTCGTGTGTGAGTGTGTATGTATGTATGTGTGTACGCAACTGTAGGAGAGCGTTCGTTTTATGTATCTCTAAGATGTCCGTGTACATGTATGTGTATAAAAGGGTGTCCATGTGTATATCTGTAAGAGAGTGTGTATGTAGCAGTGTTTGTAAGAGCGAGTTTGTATATTTAATGCTTGATTTTGTGTGCATGTCTTGTTGATTTGTTTGTTTTTGTTTTTGTTTTTGCTGGTGTGTATGCCCTTTGATCCGGTACACATAGGTAAGGCGGGAGGGGTGGGGCTGGCCACTGCAGCAAGCAGTCCCTCAGCCAGTCGCATCGCCCTTTACTCGACCCGACGATGACAAAGTTCTAATGCAACTAACGAGATAGTGCTATCACTGTCTACCTACACTTTTCTATTGCGTATCACAAGAATAGTCATCGCTTATGAGTATACAGTGGTATTCCATCTACAGGAATTGACATGGTGTAAAAGTACCTATTGATACTGTATGTTCAGAGGCTGTCTTGTCGCCAGACAAATCCACATGCTTACTGCACCTATAAGAACAATCATTTCACCACACAGAGACTCATAAATAAACCCTAAAACCCTACAACTCATCACTACTGTCTACAGGGATAATCATTTAACCATACACTTGCACGCTTCCCTTCTACCTTTAGGGATAGTCTTCTCACCCGTATGCTGCAAGATTCGTTGGGTGGCAGGGCTAAGACGACCATCATCGCCACCATCTCACCTGCCAGCAGCAACGCTGAGGAGTCACTCAGCACTCTCGACTACGCTGCACGCGCAAAAAACATTAAGAACAGGCCAGAACGCAAGGCAACACTCACCAAGAAGGTATACGCAATGGTTTATGTGCACGTACATAGGGTAAGCAACTTGTGTAGTGCGTGCGTACATGTATTGCGTAAATGTGGATATGAAAC